CTGAAACGCCATGTCGTTACAAAATTGTATCCGTTGGGCCCATTTAATGCGGACACGTCTTTTAAGAGCCGCCATGTCAGACCAAATACTATGAAGTGTCAAACAGAGCAAAGTGTTCTCATGTCGGTAACAACGCAAAACGAGTCGGGATAAAGTGAAACAACAAACGACATCAGTAATCATTTAAACAACTTCAAATATTTACTGATGTCGGGGGCCTCACTGTTGATATCAAATCCAGTAATCAAGATTAAGGTACTAAAAGTCGGAATATATTATAGCAAATTACCGACTTGAGAATTGCCGATTTCCGAAGGATCAAACAACTTCAGACCGACTTTCAAAAAAGGGTAATAACCGACTTCCAATCAACCGACTACCATAAAGATTGAGCATTCCAACAGAAAGTAATCATTAGAAGCATCTGATTGGACCAACGAAACAAAAAGGCAATCATTGATGTTTCCCGCCGCCTCAAAGCAAAGCAGCTCAATATTAAATGCATCTCTATCCATTTCGAGGAAGAGGACAAAAGCCACCGTACTATAAATAGCAGAATTTATGATAGTACGAGGATCCTTTTTCGATCACATGGTACACGAACTTAAGATAAACTCGATTTTCAGTTTAAAACCGACTTCTGTACTCTTGTGGACATAATCAATAAAATCCAATTTAACTTTTATCTTCATTCTTGAAACATCAACTGTGCTTAATTTTAAGTTGCTAAGTCAAGACAGCAACAAAACCATAAGTGGGAATTGTCTTCGTTGAAACTTGAATGACAACCTCACATCAGAAGGAGTCAATAACATCCGCGAAATAAGTACTTTGCTCCCAGTATTTCTTCCCGATAGAACCTTAGCCTTAGCAATGTGATCTCCAAGTCGAGTGATGATTAACCTGATGTCATTACACAACCTATACAAAAATAATGATTATTTATTAAAGTTATCAGTTTTTATTTCTAATTAGAAAATAAAAACATTACAATAATGATAGATAATAAATTAGTTAAGATTTAGGAATGTATAAATGCCAAAACACATAAAAGGATGGTCGAGTAATCACTCACTTGGTGCCATTACACAACCCAGAAGATTGATCCATGTTTTGAAACAACATTACAGGAATACCAACTTTCAATTTTAAGATGTGATTAGGAACTCCAGAGCATTTTATTGTATTTAAAAAATTAGTTGTGTACACTAAATGCCGTTTTGTCGCCTTGCATCTATAAAGGACTTTTCGAACTTTCTTGCTTGACTGGATGGAGTGTCTGACATCGAATATATATAAAAAAAAAATCAAAGAAATATATAATGTTTGCATTTTACATAAATAAAATAAGGTCTTTAAAATAAATACAATTATCATTTTATAAGTTATTTTAATGTTTAAGGACACAAGGGTATTATAAGCTTTTTGCCATGTACGAGGTGTACGAGACAATACATGTACAAGGCAAATTCTTTTTTGCCTCGTGCATTGAATATGTAGTTGATATTTAAGTTCGAATCAATCTAATGGTCAATAAAGGAATATCTGATGTTAAGTATGTACGAGGAGTATCTGACCATAGAAGATCCTTAGTGTCTTTTCTAACTTCTCTTAAAATTGTTTATTTTATAACTGTTTTTACATTCTTTTGGAATGGATATTAATATTTTTGGAAATCCCACAAATCAGTTTTTTTTTTTTAATGGAATTTTAATTCATTGGGTGGTTACTTATTTATTTAAGGGAAAAATTTTTTTAACCTCCCAAAGTATGTCGTTTTTTTGACTTTGCCATATAAACTTTTTTTTTGACAATTTGCCTCCCAATGTAATCGAAACTGACAGTTTGCCTCCTCTATTGAAAACCCTAATATGACACAAAAGAGTTTTTAACTCAATTAATGATGAATTTTAAACTAATCTTTAAAATTGATTTAGGCTTTTAAAGCCCATGGTGAGACGAACAAAATGAGGTATAATATGTCGAATTCTGAAAATTGATACCTCTATAATCGATCCACGAAGATAGTAGGAGCACGTGTATATAGAAAAAATTTCAATTCAAGTTTTCTGACAATCAAAATATTCGATTTTCGATTGGGAGGTGTCATTTGAAAGCTAGTAGGACCAATTTTTCTAACACGTAAATCTTATGAAAATCCAACGGTCTGATTTTGATCGGTATTTAGAAAACTATTGATCAATAGTTAGCTTTTTTTTAGGCTACTAACCAAAATCCAACCGTTGGATTTTCATAAGATTTACTTCGATAGAAAACTTGTCCTTCAAGCTTTCAAATGACACCTCTCAATCGAAAATCGGATATCTTGATTATCCGAAAACTTGAATTGAAATTTTTTCTATACACAGGTGCTCTTGCTATCTTCGTGGATCGATTTTAGAGGTATCAATTTTCAGAAATCGACAAATCATACCTCATTTTGTTCGTCTTACCATGGGCTTTAAAAGCCCTAAATCAATTTTAAAGATTAATATAAAATTCATCATTAATTGAGTTAAAAACTCTTTTGTACCATATTAGGGTTTTCAATCGAGGAGGCAAACTGTCAGTTGCGATTACATTGGGAGATAAATTGTAAAAAAAAAAAAGTTTATATGGCAAAGTCAAAAAAATGACATACTTTGGGAGGTTAAAAAATTTTTTCCCTTTATTTAAGCCCTATGCAACAGTGGAATGAGTTGGGCCGTTGAGCTTGCACTTTTTGGGTCTATTAGATTAGATTGGATTATAATGAGCGTTAAAATACACACGTGTTAGAAATACAAAATTTGTTATTTGTAGCTGGTGTGTAGGGGAACTAGGGTTTTCTAGTTGTTCTTGTTCCGCAGACATAACCATGAGAATCCTCTCAGCCACCGCCAATCTACTACTCACTAACGCCAATTCCAAATTCAAATTTCTCCCCGCAAATCTCAGCTCCACTATTTTCCATCGTTTCCTTAGCACTACTGCGGCGCCGGCGCTTTCCCCCAATTTGAAGCAGCATGAGAACACCAACAAAAATCTCATGCTTATACTCGCAGTACACAACGAAGAAACCTACGACCACTGCGTAGTCTCAACGGAAAACAACTCGTTCCGAGTGGTACAAGATACTCTTCCCAACTTATCGTTACTCAGAGCTGAACATCTCAATATTGTCGTTAGGAGCCCCGATTATATCGTTCGAGCTTGTTCCAGCCACAAATGGATGTTGTTGACATGTCAAAAAAAAGTGCCTAGAGATCCGTACGAGCTTCTGTGGGACCCGACGACTGACGAGACGAAAACCCTTCCTCTTTCTGCAATTCGGCCTCCAATTCCAGTATGCCCTGCAAGTTGGGGTTTGGGCATAGGGTTTGATCCTCGTGCACCCGAGGACTATAAGGTAGTCAGATCTGAAAATTTCAACCTTCGAATCTGCTCGGAGGTGTTGTCCCTCCGAACCCGTTCCTGGAAGGAGATTCCGTATCCTTATAATCCTTGCTTCAGTCCCTTTGAAAACCTTGCTCTTCACCTAAATGGCTTCTATTACTGGCTAGCTTGTCATATGTTTGACGAGAAACTTTACGCTATTATTGCGTTTGACTTTGCTAATGAGGAGTTTCTGCCTGATCTTATCCTTATGCCCGTGAGCGAAAAACTTGGGTACAATGTGAGATATGTTCTTGCTGAGTTTCACGGTTCCCTCGCGGCTGTTGTTTACGATTTTAATCAGCCGCCGTATACAGAGAAGAAGAAGGCTTGTTTTGAGATTTGGGTGTGGGAGAATGACGATTGGTCGTGTGCGGACGAGTTTGAGGTTCCTGCTGATCGTGATGCTCTACATGCGATAATTGGCCTCTACAAGAATGATAAAGTGCTCATTCAAGACTCCTATGGTGACCTGCTGCTTTACGATTGTGAGAACCGCAGCTTGAAAAATCTCGGCATCCATGATGACTCATTTAAGCTGGAAGTTTACCCCTATGGTAACACTCCCCTTTCCACTCATCAGTAGTCAAAAAAATAAACAGCTCGTCGACCCTATGGTCTGGTGCCATCTTTCATTGTTCGAGCGGCATATTGCTATATTTGTCGTTTGTACCCTCTTATTAGCTATGTGTATGGTCCTTTAATTTGCCTATTGTTGTTTGACCTTGACTGCCCGTGTATCGGTTTCTTTTAGTGCAATGATGCTACTTTTTTACATAATGTTTCTTCTTTGGTTGCAAGTTTGTTGAATTTCTGAATTTCGTTAATGTTTCCTGTGTGACAAATTGTGGCTGTCAATGATATGATAAGAGTTATGATCGCTTTTATGAGCTCAAGTTAGAAAAATATTGCACCATGTGAAAGGAAAATCAAAGTATTGCAAGACCTCTTATAGCTGGGTTGGATTAGTCTGCAACTTATCTTACATCAAAGATCTATCTAGGTAGGGCTATCTTCCCATTTGTCTGGCCAGTCTTCATCATTAGCGCCACATCTTATTATTAACTAACTGATGTAGTGTCTTATCTGTTGTGTTGCCCTTGCTTGGATGGGAAGTGCCTTTCCTCAACGTTTTTTTTTTTTTTCTGTCTTAATTGTTGAAAATGCATTGCATGATGATATCTATCCAGCTTTGCCGGCTTGATGGATATGCGATTGCTTTCATAATAAGTTTTCTGCTTTCGGTTGATGATAGCAACTAGTTGGCCGCTAGTTATATGACTCACTGCTAGAATTAATTGTTAGCATGGGGCATGCTCCCTTGAGGGGATAGCAAAGACATTTCTTGGGAAAAAGTTGTTGTGTCATTGTCATTGTCATGATTTCTGTTATGCTTTGGTGAACATGTACATCTCCCATTCTTAAATCTTAGGTATCAACTAAAAGTTTACCCTTTAAACATGTGAATTGAAGAAGATAATTTTGATTGTTAATCCGTCATCTTTATTGGTTTGAACTTAGTTCCTTTCTGCTCCCTGGCAGGAAAAACTACGGTGAACAAAGGGGATAAATTATTAGGCCTGCAGAAGGATTCTCCACAGAAAGTGAAGGAAACTATTGAACTTAAATCTAAAAGGCCGCCTTCACAATTCACTCGAAGGTCTCCAACAGCAGACAGTGAAGATAGCAACGAAGTAGAGAAATATGGAGGAATGACACTCGCTGAACTGAGAGATGTTGCAAAGTCTAAAGGAATCAAGGGTTCCTCGGGATTGAAAAAGAGTAAGCTTAAGGAGCTCCTTATTAGCCATGGTGTTTGATGTTTGGTTTGGGGGATCTGTTTTTAGGTGTTTTATTATGTACTCATGGTATTAGTGTTTTTGCTAGGTTCTCCAGAAATTTTCCTTGTGTATGAACTGTAACTTCTTGGAAGAATTCAGTATGTTCTGCAGAAAAAGAAGTTTGGCACTGTAGCAAAACGATTTTTTAATTCTCTCCATTTTGCTTATTATGTTGACACGTGTTAACCTTTTTTATTGTCTTTTGTTTAATTAATTTTTTATATCAATCTCTTTTCTATCTAATGTATCTGTACAGAGTGAGAGGCGAGAGCGACAGACATTTTTTTTCTTTTGTATTTTTCGCTTCACAAATCTCTACCAATTTCACAAAAATTCGACCGGAATTTACCACAAATCCGTTGAAAGTAGTTATAATTTCTTATTGCACGTTAATTTTTTATCGCCTGCATTCTTTTTGACCGGAATTTTGACTTTTTTCCGGAGGATAGGGTTCCCCTCTCGACGGGCTTCAATCTGCCAACGCGTTTTCTCGCGAAATCCTGCTCAATTGGGAAGGTTCCACACATGGATTCACACGAATTGTCGATTGTACTTAGCAGGTGAGTTGATTTTTTCTTTTTTTTTTTTTTTCTTT